ATTGATGAGCACTTGAGCTCCAATTGCCAACAAAACACAGACATTTGATGCAGTTTCACATACTGTCTGCAGTTCTGAATCATGTCAGGGATCTTTTATCTTTTATAGCTGGGACCACTCCATCTTTCAGTATCAAACGATGTGCAAATACAGCCTCGAACTGGGCCTTGTTTAAAAAACGTTCGTCAACAAACACACTTGTGAAACTCCATTGCTGCCCAGGAAAAACAAACTGCATCCACTGTTTACATAACGTTGGGTTCTTTAGGAAGCTGAACAAAATCTTTCCCTTACAACCAAAAACACACTTCTTTGGAGACATTCTTCCCGAGCGAGTCCCGTGCAGCGCTGCCAGTTGAAGCGCGTTGATGGGCACGATCTCGCTCTTGCTCTGGTCAATGCGTGCGCGGGCGCGTTCTTCTGGGAAAAATGCCCATATAAGGAGTTCCACCCTCGTTTATGTCATGAAGAGCCACGATCGAAAAGAACTCTCCGAAACTTGTATGAACCCGGAAGTAAGATTTTTGGCACAGAAATACTCCTTCATACGTCCAAATTGTTTTTTGAAACTTTGTCCATGCTTAGCATGAGAATCCAACTCTTTAACAGTGTAAACAACTCTGAATGCATGAAACAGCATTGTACCCCCCCTTTAATTTATGATAATTTAAATTTTAATAATTAATCATTTAAATGTATGATAATTCCGATAGCACGAAAGAAAGAAAGAAAGAAAGAAAGAAAGAAAGAAAAAGAAAGAAAGAAAAAGCTTTTTCCTGTAGACATCTTGTGCCACTCATGTTTACCACAGTTTGGTATTCTGATATAGATTTTCCGCCAGACGTGTTGTTTTTTAATACAATCATTAAGGTATGTAAATTATCTTCAGTTTATTTAAAAACACTCTTTCCTTGATCACAGGTGTTGAAAATTTTATGTAAGAATAGTAAATTGATCCAAGTTAATCCAAACAGCTGATAAAAACAATAAACCAATAAAATAAAATAAAACAGTAATCCACATGACACCAGTCCAACAATTATTTTATTGTGAAACGACAAGTATATTCAGTCATAGTACTTCATGTCAAAAGGCTGATGAGCTCTGCTGTACTTCTACAAAGACCACAAACATAATACCTATCATGCTAAAAATCATCCTCTCAACTGTTTTCTGTCTAGTTTCCTTTTCAAATACCTCATTAAGCATTAAATATGACACCATGCATCTTCTTTTTACAGCTTCTGACACTTGTGGTTGGAGCTTATCAGCTAAATGGCAGATCTAGCTACAATGGCTGTGAAATTTTACTGAATATGCTAAATAAAATTAGACTCACTTATCAGGGTCATGTAACTTACTGCTGCATGCGCAAACTCTTTCATGTACTCGGGCTGAATAAAGATAAGTCTCTCAATCTCAATCTCTCAACTCAGTATATATAAAACAGAGGTCTTCATGGACTAATAATTGGAAAAAAGGAGGTTACCAAAAAAGGAGATTTCTCAAAAAATGAGTGGAGCACATGGCCAACACAAATAAAGACAGAGTCATGTGCTCAAACACAAACAAATACAAGCAAAGACACATTAAACAAAGACAAGACAGGCAGAAGAGTCAGAGGAGAACCCTGACAGTACCCCACCCCCTCCGATGGATGCCTCCAGGTGTCCAAACCAGACAAAGAAATACATGGTGACACCAACCAACTGGGGGGGGAGGGGGGAGGTGCAGGTGGGGTTGTAAACATGAAAGTCCTTTGGGACAGGATGGGGCGGGTGGTAACAGGACCAGGCAAAAAAACTTCAAGGCTGACCAGGGAGGTGCAGACTTTGGGGAACCATAACTAGGAAACCCAGAGGATGCTTGACTGGAGGCACGTTTAGATACAAGGACCAGCCTAACTGGTCTGGATTTCCAACTGGGCTCAGATTCAGGGACAAAGTGTAAACTGACAGGGAATAAGTATGCCTTGGAAACGGGTTTAGCGACAGGTTCTTGGACGTCCTTATGGGTAGCTGGATCAGACTTAGAAATTGACTTCAAAACGATCCTCAGGGGCTGGAGCCGACACTGGACAATGCTTAGGGGCTGGAGCCAACACTGGACCATGCTCAGGGGCTGGAGCCCCTGACACTGGAACTGCTTTTTCTAGAGTTAGATCAGACTCTGTGACTGCTCTCTCTGGAGCTGGAGCGGGCTCGAAAACGACATCTTCTTCTGGAGCAGGCTTGGAAACAGCTCTAAGAGCAGCGGGATTGGGAACAAATTCCACTAAAGAAGGCTCGGGAAGAGCTCTCTCAGGAGAGGGCTTGGGAACTGCTCTCACAGGAGCGGGCTCTGGGAATTCACCCTGAGGAATTTCAAACTCTGTGTCCACAACATATTTGGCAGGAATTAGTTATGTATACATGACAAGGATGGCAAGAGATTCTGAGAAGGCCTCTGTGGTCGTGACAGCAGGCAACTAAGGAATGACCACTATGGCTGTGACAGCAGGCATTGACAACAGCCCAGAGAAGGTCTCTGTGAACATGACAGGACTGGCAGAAACTGTCCCTGAGGGCATGACATGACTGGCAAGTACACGCATTCCTGACTTGACATGAATGGCAAGTGGCTTAAAAAAATTAACTGGACTAGATTCTTCTAGAACTTTTGGACTTGGGACTTGAGAAGGAGGGACAGTGGACAGCACAGCACAGGCCCTTCTCTTCATCCGCTTTCGACAGGTAGATACTGTGTGCTTGACTGCCTCTGTAGTATCTGCAGTTAACTCTGCCAATTCAGGCGGCATTGCAGCAAACTCCGTCGACTCAGTGGCAATTGAAACAGATCCAGCAGACTCAGAAGTGACTGGAACAGACTTAGTAGACAGAGGGACAACACTTAACTGGCACAGAAATATCAGGAGTACTCTTGGCTGATTTTGGGAAGACAGATGTTGATTCAGCAGACTCACAAGTGGATGGAACTGACTTGAATGTCTGAGAGATGACTGTGGGTGACTTGATTGGCTCTTGGATAACAAAAGTGGACGTGACTGATTTGTGGATGACAGGTGTTGACTCAGACTTAAAAGTGACTGCTACTGACTTGATTGCCTGGGAGATGACAGTTGACTTGACTGTCTCAGGGGAAACAAGGGCGATCTCAGCAGACTCTGGGGTGGATGTAATGGACTAGACTGACTTATTTTTTGACCTTTGTTTGTTAGTTGGAGTCAGAAGTGAATCTTGAAAGGATGAGGGAGGGTGGGCAGGGTCGTCGCTGCAGGCTGACTCAGGTCAACGAGGCATTTCCCACCGGATATGATGACTAAGAAATTCAAAATCTTGAGAGCATCCATCTCCCACTTAGGCAGGGGGTCATCTAAGCAGGCATTAAAGATATCCTTGAGGATTGCATCATCATAATCTAGCCCCACAGACATTGTTCAGAAAAACTGGGCAAAAGCCCCCACAGCTTAACCCTGTTGGTGAATGTCTCTCCTGGGCATTAGCAGATGGCAGGATTCTGATGCTCATTCTGCAGAGTCCTGTTTTGATCAGTTTGTTCTGTCATGGATCTATGAGAGAGGACTCTAATGCAAAATGAGTGATAATGGGTTTATCAGCAAAACTGCAGAGAAAACAAGAGAATGTGAGGAGGGGGTGAACACAGTCCAAACAATAAGCAGAGGCGAGGTTCAAAGACAGGCAGGCAGAGAGAGTGAGTCCAGCCCAGGATGACAGTGGGCTGGTGAGCAGTAATGGCAGGGCAGAGCAAGACAGATGGAGAGCAGCGATGGCCTGGCAGGAACACTTAGCACAGGAGCCTAAACACTCATGGTCTCTCAGGCACTGCACAGGTTCTGCTGCTTGGCAGAAATAGTGATCGGCCAGGATGCTCAGCCTGCAGGACAGTACTAGAACATACAAGAGACACAACAACACAAGACAAGACAGATGAAAGTGACCAATGTCAAGCAAAAACTAGAAAAAATATTACTAGAGTAGGGAACAAAAAAAAACTGAGAAAAAAACTAGAAAAACTATTAGGAAAAAAAAATTTATAACTAAAAAAAATTAGTTTTGATTTTCCAAGCTGTTTAATGGCAGTCAGCGGGTGTTGCAGTTCATCAGTCCAAAATAAGTTAAATAAAGTGCATCCATCCATAATATAAAGTGCCTCACACGGCTCCGGGGGGTGAACAAATGCCCCCTGTAGCAAATCGATGCGTTTTTGTAAGAGAAATACCCATATTTAAAACGTAATAATTTAATCTAGCTTGCGCTCACTGTTGTACACGGAAGCAGCTCCGGGTGGATGATGTAGGACGTCGGCATTGTGCATACGCCGCTCAGAAGTGATGAACACGGAAGCGCAGGGGAGAGATCAAAACAAAACAACGGTCACTAATTAGAAATACAAAACGAGGATTTGTAAAGAAGAATGTCGGAAGATTTCGATATAAGCCAAGAGGAGACTGGTTTTCCTTTGCTAAAGTAAGGAAACTTGCTGAGTGGCATTAAACAGCTTGGAAGATCAAAGACAATTTTTTATATAACTCCGATTGGATTCATCTGAAAGAAGGAAATCATATACGCCTAGGATGGCTTGAGGGTGAGTAAATAATGGGCTAATTTTAATTTTTGGGTGAACTATCCCTTAAAGTTAATGTTCAGTAACGTCTTTTATGCAGTCATAGAAAAACATGTCTAGTCTTACATGCTGCTTCTTTGAGCTGAAGGCTATGTGCACTGTCTGCAAGTTAATGGCTTCAAATTAATCAAATGACACAAATCTTTGTGGTATGACAACTGAAGCCTTCGACTGAAGCCTCATCAAGCCACAAGTATTATTAAATATTACTATCTACTGATTACCATACTGAGTTACTGTTACCACAATCTGAAAGTAACAAGTTACGAGAAGCTCAGTTTCTCCACCCTCCTTTATATTATATTTATATCGAATATAGCCAGAGTGAGCTCATTGATTCACTGATTGTCTTCATCATGACTATCATCTCTCTGCTCCTGCTGGCCTCTCTGCTGCCACACCTGACCTTCACTGGTGAGACTGATCAAACGAAATATTAATAACACAAGCTTTATAGCACATATACAGTAAGACAGTGAGGAGGAACTATAATAACTAACACTATCTCTCTCGGCTCGTGTGAATGTGGTATAGTGAACGGCAGGGAAGCAAATACCCCACTCCAGACCTTACATGGTGTCTGTTCAAACAAAGGAGCATCATATCTGCGGTGGATTCCTCATCTCTGATAGATTTGTCATGACTGCTGCACATTGCCAAAACAAGTAAGACAAATAATAACTTAGCTAATTATATATTTTAGATAATATAAAGTAACACTTTATTTTGAGTCCACTTTTTAGACATCCTATTAACTATAAGTAACTTTGCAACTACCAGTCATTAGATTATTAGTAGACTGTCTGCTTACTGTCTGTTAACAGTTTATTTAAGTGACTGCAAGAATGTCAACTTGTTCTGCTAACCATAACCCTAGTCTAACAGTCTACTAATACGCTAATGAGAGTTACTGTAGTTGACATATAGTTGCAAAATTGTAGAATGTCTAAAGTGGACTACCTTTAACATTAGTATAAGTTAGTAATTATATTCTAGATAATATAAACAATTACTAATTAATTTACATAATTTAACTGTTTAAAATAAATAAATTCAAAATATATTATAATGAATATAATATTATAATGTAGGTAATATATTACTAATTGATTAAATTAATTAAATAATTTAAAATAAACAAATACTAAATACATCATTATATACTATCCCTCAATACAATACACATATTATAGTAATATTAATAATTTAATATTATTATTAAGCCAGCTATTATATAAAAATACATAATATTTAAATTTCATGAAAATGACTAGTACAACCATATACTGTACTTAAAAGCATTCATCATGACTTTGGCTACCAAATCAGCACACTTCCAGAACATACTTATGAATATAGCAGACTGTGAAAGAAGTTATTACTAAATAAAACTTGTCTTTTTAACAGTTCTCCAGTTGTGACGGTTGTGCTAGGTGCACACGACCTACGAAAAAAGAGCGAGAATTCAGTCCGATTCACAGTGGATTCATACCATCAGCATCCAGACTTCACCATGGAATCCTTTCATAATAACATCTTGCTTTTGAAGGTAACAAATTGCAATTTTAGTTGACCACTAAACTTTTCATTCAGAATCACAGCCAATAAGATAATCAAATATTTTTAATAATGATGCTGCTGTTTTTGGTTTACAGTTAGAAAAAAATGTACAACTAAACGACAATATCAAGTGGATATCCATACCAGCGAAAGAAGGCGATATAGAAGCAGGTTCTGTTTGCAGTATCGCAGGCTGGGAACTTTTAGAAACTAATGGCAAGAGAAGCGATCACCTCATGGAGACAAATGTGACGGTCATGAATAACAAGAAATGTGAAAGTAAATGGGGGAAGGACGACTTTTCAACTTCACAGATGATGTGTGTATATGGCAATGGTGGAAGCTGTGATGTATGTAAAAAATATTTGATTCACCAAATCTTATTGCTTAAACAAGTGTTATTTATGAATTATGACAGCATGTGACTGAAGTGTTGATCTGTTTCTTAACAGGGGGATTCAGGAGGTCCTTTGGTTTGTGGAGACACTGCTCTCTTATAACTAATTTTAACATGATAGTACATTTGATAAAAAGTTCTGATAACAAAGCTGTTTCCTGTTGAGATCATGCACTGCCCATGTTTACCTTGTGTCAGTTTGGTAGTCTGATTATAGATTTTCTGCCAGATGTGTTGTTTTTAAGACAATCATTAAGGTATGTTAATTGTCTTCAGTTAATTTAAAAACACTCTTGCCTTAATCACAGGTGAGAATATTTTATGTTTTCTTCATTCACTGTTTTTATCCCTGGACAGAGAGTTGCGGCTGGAGCTTATGAGCTCAACTGCAGTTCTAGTTGCATGACTGTTACTGTCCAACCACATCCACCCTGGCCATGTTGACATTTCTCAGAGCAAACTATCTTTTGATGTCATCGAAATGAGTAAAAATATATTTAGAATCAACTGAATAATTGCGTAGGCTATTTAGTTGCATGTACTATAAAAGAACTCTCAATTTTCATCTACATTTTCAGTAAAACCTTGATCTGACATGGACTGAAGTTAGAAATACTGGACCACAGAAGTAGTAAATAAATATATTAATGTAATTTTTCAAATAAGCCTTGTAGTTATTCAATGTTCATGCTCTTTGTTTACAGCTCACTTGAATTTATTCTAGATCGTTAGATGTGACATCATGATGTTCTGGAAGCTGGTTTGAGAAATAGTTACCAGAAACTCAGTGTCTCCACCCACCCTCTTGTTTACTGTTTTGTCAGTGAGAGCTCACTGATTGTTTTCATCTTTTCAATACTGATAATAATAAGAAATGTTTCTTGAGCAGCAAATCTGCATATTAGAATGATTTCTGAAGGATCATGTGACACTGAAGACTGGAGTAATGAAGCTGAAAATTGCATCACATAAAATACAAAACAGTTATTTTAAATAGTAATAATATTTCACAATATCACTTTTTTTTTTTTTACTTGATCAAATACAGACATTACCAACCACAAACGTTTGAATCATTTTGGTCTGTATACACTATAAACTCATTGAGTGCAAAAAGTCATGAATTAAATAAGTGTTTGTAGGAAATATGAACAAAACACATTTAAGTGAGCATTGCAATTGGTGGGAAAGTTGCTGTTTTACACATCACTAAGATCATTCTGAGTATTTCTTGATGAACTCATTTTATCGTGTACTCATTTTAGTATATTCTGATAAAAGGTTCTGATAAAAAAGTTGTTTCCTGCAGACATCATGCGCCGCCCATGTTTACCACACGTGTTAGTTTGGTATTCTGATGTAGATTTGCTGCCAGACATGTTTTTAATACAATCATTAAGGTATGTTAATTCTCTTCAGTTAATTTAAAACTCTTGCTTTGATCACAGGTAAGAATATTTTATGTAAGAAGCAAGTTTTCCCCATTTACTGTTTTTACCCCCTGGGCAGAGAGTTGTGGCTGGAGATTATGAGCTCAGCTGCAGGTCTAGTTGCATGACTGTTACTGTCCAACCACATCCACCCTGGCCATGTTGACATTTCTCAGAGCAAACTATCTTTTGATGTCATCGAAATGAGTAAAAATATATTTAGAATCAACTGAATAATTGCGTAGGCTATTTAGTTGCATGTACTATAAAAGAACTCTCAATTTTCATCTACATTTTCAGTAAAACCTTGATCTGACATGGACTGAAGTTAGAAATACTGGACCACAGAAGTAGTAAATAAATATATTAATGTAATTTTTCAAATAAGCCTTGTAGTTATTCAATGTTCATGCTCTTTGTTTACAGCTCACTTGAATTTATTCTAGATCGTTAGATGTGACATCATGATGTTCTGGAAGCTGGTTTGAGAAATAGTTACCAGAAACTCAGTGTCTCCACCCACCCTCTTGTTTACTGTTTTGTCAGTGAGAGCTCACTGATTGTTTTCATCATGACTATCATCTCTCTGCTCCTGCTGGCCTCTCTGCTGCCACACTTGACCTTCACTGGTGAGACTGACTGAACTACTGAATTGATTAATCTGCTGAATAATATAATTAACAGCACTCTCTCGCTTTCTCAGCTCATGTGATTGTGGGTACAGTGAATGGCACAGAAGCAAAACCCCACTCCAGACCTTACATGGTTTCTGTTCAAAAGAACTGGCTACATACCTGTGGTGGATTTCTCATCTCTGATGAGTTTGTCTTGACTGCCGCACATTGTCGAAAGAAGTAGAGTGTATTGTTTGGAAATGTCCATCCTGGAATTTGACATTCTATAGTCTAAAAGACAAAACTGAATGTTAATATGTTAAATATATTTGATTTTAACAGTTCAGAGACTCTGACAGTCGTGGTTGGTGCACATGACCTAAAAAATAAGACTGAAGGTTCTGTCTGCATCGAAGTGAAGTCGTACCACCAGCATCCAGACTTTACTGAGGATCCTGTCATGAATGACATTATGCTTTTGAGGGTAACAATCTGCACTAATTTCAGTTCAAAATCACATCCGATTAGGCAAAAATGATCAACATGACACATTTTTCTAAAAATAATAAATAAATATCTGGGCTATATTATTTGTACGCAAGATAAAATGTAGGCTACAGTCGGTCATCGTTATAGCAAAACAAACTGGACAGCTGTATATTATCTTTTTACACACCGACAAATTGTTTTATAACCTTACCTGTCCTGTGTATCATCTTAAAGCTTCTGCGATCATAAAGGATGAAAGACCGCAGCTGAATCCCACGATCGACCAATCAGAATCAAGTATTGCAAAGCGCCGTGTCATAGCTAAATTGCTGTCATTGTAAAATATCTTCCTTTTTAATATAAAAATAATATAAAGGATTTATACAAATGATTGGAATTTTAAAGCTTTGCAAACGTAAATGTTTTTATTTGCATACTGTGCATACATCTATATTGTACTTTTCAGTGTTGGCTATCTAATCGTGCAAAAATGTATTCAGGCTGGACCAGAAAGCAAACCAGACAAACATACTTAAATCAATTTAAAATAGAAATGATCCAAAAATAGTTTGCGTATAAGTTCTGATAAAATAAATAATTTGCAAAACTACTGTTCAGTATTATTAAATATTTCTGTTATGTTTTGTACTACAGCTAGAGAAAAAAGTCACACAAAATGAGAAAGTCAACTGGATATCTATACCAATAAAAGAAGATGAGACTGAAGTGCATTCTGTCTGCAGCGTTGCAGGCTGGGGAAGGCTGGATAATGGCTCCCTTAGCAATCGTCTCATGGAAACACATGTGAAGATCATGAATCACACAAAATGTGAAAATAAATGGGGAAAAGTTGACTATTCAGCTTCACAGATGATGTGTACATATGGCAATGGAGGAAGTTGCACTGTAAGTACAAAAGATCATCTGTCTTACTGATTGATATAAGGCCCCAAATGGTGAGCATAATATCCGTGTTTACATTGTTAACAGGGGGATTCAGGAGGTCCTTTGGTTTGTGGGAAAACTGCTGTTGGTGTCACATCTTTTGGTGACCCTAATCTCTGTAATTCCCCTGAGCTACCTGAAGTCTATATGAAGGTTTCAGCATATCTGCAATGGATACATAAGTTTATTGGAAATGTTTATTGACTTGATTTGGTCTTGAATTTATCCAAATTGTTTCAATAAATGTGTCGTATGTCAATTACCTATGAGTGGTTATTTCTTTACCCAGTCCTTGGGGACTGCAAATACGAAGGCATTTTTTTTATCACATTTTTTTTTTTTAAAGGATGGTATATTCTGATATTCTGCATTTCCTGCAGACAAGATGTTTTTACCACATTGATTCAGGAGATAGTATGATTCCTGCTCATAAGACATAGGGTAAAAACATATTGTAAAAATGCTCACTTTACTGCTGAAGACATTGGGAAGACCTGACAGAAGGAACTAAGCATTTAAAGGTTTGACTTGATTATGCTGGAAGTATTTTTAACACATGAAAATGGTAGCATTGTAGCTTGAACAGGACTTTGATTACAGTGTAAAAAATACTGCAATATCCCAAACTCACCACAACTCATCCTTTTTTCTTTAGTCTTCACATATATTGGTTAGTTTCCAATTAATTTCCTTTGGGTTTAAATTATTTTACATACATTATTTAGTAAACTGGTTTCCACTTGAATAAAAAAAAATACATAAACACAAATAATGTCACCATTTAAAAAAAATAATGTTTTGTTATATCTTTTGGAGCAATGACACCGCCATCTTGTAATCATCCATCCCCTGCCAGTAGAAGAGTGCGACCTGCTTTACGGCATAAGTCACATATTTTAATCGTAGCCTTGGTGGAGTTAGCCAACAGCTAACTATAAGACGAAATTATCTAATATGCAAGTCTCAAAACCAATGCCATGGCAGAGCCAGCAAAGAAACCAAAGAGGGTTTTGTCGGAGGAAGCGAAGAAAAGAGAGAGAGTGATCGGACATGAGCCCGAATACGAATCAATATCGGACGGGCTTACACTCGGTGGCGCGAGCTGAAAGAGGCAACGGTTGCAAAACGGATGGAGACCTAGCCTTCCTGCTACTGGATGGTGTAATGATATTTGTAGAACATAGTGTAACACAGGCTACACTGTAAAAAAAAATCTGTGACATTTACGGTAAAATACAGGCAGCTGTGGTTGCCAGAACTTCACCGTAAAAAATATGGTAGCAACATTTTAGGTTTTACAGACTTAACTTAAATTCACAATAAAATACCGTATTTCATTAACTGATGTAATGTTAATAAACCAACATATTGAAGTATTAATATCTGTTTTGAACCATTGTAATGCACTGATAACCACCAAAAACTGGTGGTGATGAGAAAGTCACATGATGAACCAAAGCTCATCACAAACACCTTTTCTACGAGCTAAGGAGGGCAATACGTTTATATAGAAGGTGCACAGTGTCATTCACACAAACACTAAACCCAATCATGGTGACACACATGATACTGAAATAATGCAATACACACTCATTTAACAAGATTAGATGTAAGATTAAACCCTAATGTACACAACTGATAAGAAAAAACAAAGAAAAAACATGTTATTTCAACAAAAAAGCATCAAATATGAAGCATCATACAGGGAATTCTGGGAGTGTCAATTTACGGTTTTTCACTGTAAATTATACAATGACTTTTTCTTTTTCACTTCCAAAAACGTATTTTTAACAGTATTTTACTGTAAAATTACATTAAATGTAATTACATTTATTCAC